GATGATTGTGAAAATAATATGAATTGTCAAGGGTATCTAGAAGACCTCTAAGATATACCCATATTAATGTTGATTTGAAAGGTATCTAGAAGAACTCTAAGATATACCTATATAAGTTAGGCCTTGCGGGTATGATGCCCGGTGGCTAGGGTTAAAACGTACGTACGGGATCCAAGAACCAAACTTGAGTACCTACTCGTTTGGGGGTACCACCCACCCTACAGTGAACACTACGCTGTCGGTTTTTGGTTGGCCTTAAGTGAAGGTAAGTTTAAGATTTCCAAAACCCTTTTATCTTAAACTAGGCCTAGCTTAAGGATTATTAGGAGTACTCTGTATACTGGAATATAGTTTAATTAGTTAAACTAGAATTCATTTAAGGGTTGACAAATATTAAAGTGATTGGCCTTAGACTAAGAATAGTTTAAGGATACTGTTGAATGACAAATGATGAATATACATGTTGGATGATTGAATAATGAATGTTGAAAATTGATTATCGATTATTGAATATCTGAACTGAACATTATGTGCATGATATCAAATGGTTGATTATGAATTGAGATTCAATTTATGTGGATGTTCGACGCATTAGATATGCTTACTCAGCTTTACCGCTGATCGTGTAGTGTGTTTTATTTGCTACACGCAGGTCAATAGAATGATTTGACGTGATCCTAGAGGCAGACGGAGGCGAGATAGTCGGAATGGATGTGATGGTTTTGAATTAAATAATATAAATAAATTATGTTTGTGGTTATGATTTGTTAAGCTTCCGCAACATTGAAAACTCTGTACTGTTTATGATATGAAAAATATTATTATCATAAATAAAAGTGTTTGAAAAGTTTTAAATTTTACGATTACCAAGTTAATACTTTAGTCCGAAAGGGGCTGCAGACCTGGACGGATTAGGGTGTTACATTAGATGCCCTTCAATTTCATCTCTTTGATTGAAATCCCTAGGGAGTTGTAGCATGTGGTTCGCCGTCGGTAGAAATCTGCCGGATGTCGCTCCCTACTTTGACTCTTGAAATTTCTATTCATGTAGATTTGGTATTGTTCCCGCTGATGACCAAAACCTGGGTATACCCAACCACGATTGAATCGCCTAAAATCCTTATACTTGGGGACGACATCGGAGAAGAACCTATCGCCATTCTCTGGCTTCTCTCTAAAACCTATCGCCATATGATATATATATATATATATATATATATATATATATATATATACACACACACACATATATATACATATATATATATACATATATATATATACATATATATATATATATATATATATATCCCGGTATGAGTCACCAAAATCTTTCTAGATTTTCCTCCATCACGATCTCATATCATTTCTCGTATCAATCTTGATTCGGGTTTATATATATTCCCAAAATCGTTCTGAATGCCCTAATTTCTGATTTTGGTGTTCCAATTGATTCAATGATCGAATCAAGTTTGTGGACGGAGGGAGTAATACCTAAGAAATATATTTATCCCTGATTTCCTAAAAGAATTAAACTCTTTTATAACTACAAAAGCATATTAGCCTAAAAAAGAAAAATGAGAATTACTCTAAATTAAGAGACGCCTATATAAAAAAGGGATGCAACAGAGTAAGTAAAAGGTGTTGTAGAAAAGTTCTAATTTCCTGGATCAATTTCATACACCAAATACGCAGCTAAAAAAGAGAGCACTTACTATTTGTGGAGTGATAGCGGTAGCTGCAACATACATATCCAGTTTGCTAATGGGTATGCCAATTCTCTTGACTCCAAGATCTCCTCATACATACATACATACATACATACATATTATTATTATTATTATTTTGTTTCAAAGATAAAGCAAACCACAAACATTGAGAAGAAAAAAATTATATCTCAAATTTGATCAAAATCCAGATCTTCTTGTGACCTACTTAGTAAAAACCTGCTATGTTTATAAACCTTGTTTAAAACAAAAACCGTAAGATAGTGAATACTCTAAAAGTTTGGAACATTTAGAATTCTCCCAAGTTTTTTTGGATGCGCTTCAACCACCATGCCGAAAAGCTAGGAAGAAAAACATATCTAACTCCTGAAACAAAATCTACCAAATGTCTCACAAGAAAAATAAAAGAGGATGTAGTGACAACATAGCAAACTTGGTAAATAGACGAGGATATGTTGGAATTCTGGAAACATATTTTCTTGTGTTCAAAGGTAAATCATCATTGAACAAACAAATAGAATAAAGAAGAGAGTTCATGTAATAATCTTAACACCAACATAGTCTTGGTAAGGCTTTTTTATTTCTGTAATAAGTTTAAGTTTAAA